AAACTCAATAAAATAAACAATATCATTTGTTTTGACTTACAAGGTATGAATTTTTCAAAGATTTCCCATCGACTGATAGCCATATGCCAACCATCGTATCGTGTGAGAAAATAACGAAATGAGTGAAGAATCAAGTTCAGAAATCGAATAATCCTTGATCTGTTAAAAAAGACATGAAAATCGAATTTGTTCAAATGTGATACATGTCTCGTTAATATTTGTTGCCAGTTATTTCCATTGAGTAAGACATCAATAAATGATGTATGCAGATGTCCAGTGATAAGTCTAAGACTAAATTCTTGAAGATTAGGCATACAATGAAGAATAAGATCAAGTGAATGGATATCAAATTGTGTCAATATTTGCAGATCAAGTATTTTTAATGACGGTATTGTGGGTAAATCATCTTCATTTATGGATAGAACATTTGGATTACTGAAGAGAAAAATAAACGCATTGTTTTATATTTCATCCTTTAATAAAATGGTTGATTTTATTTTTTCTCAAATCAATTATATAGGAAAATACTTTATAATGTTATTCATTTAAACAGCCTTGCTTGATATTATTATTATCCTGTGACATCGTAGAACTTTTGATTATGACATTGAGTTATCGCAATGTGTTATATACACGAAGAACAGGAATTAGAGAATATACCGATATTTTATCATGTGTTCCGTAAAATATCATTTCTAGATATGTAAGCGTTGTATCGATGGTCACACTTTTCGTTAATTCAAGATAACCTAATGGAATCGAAGAGTAGCAACACAAAGTGTGGATGGTATATTTAACAAAACCATTTCACTGAACAGATGTGCATGACTCCTACATAGATTATCCTTTCTAGCAGTGTAAGATTGCATTATGTGAGGCGATACGATCTGAGTTTGTATTTTCAATTTCTTGATAACATTTTCTAGTTCAGATGATGCATGAAGGCCCCAGAATATGCAGGAACGAAGATTGGGAAGCTCATGTCGGCTAAAAAGGTATACAATGACATTTGTCTGATCGCAGATTTTATCACAAATATCCAGCGAAATAACTTGACCGGAATAAAAGGTCAAGTGATGATATAGAAATTCAATTTGACGACGACAATGTACAAAATCAATAATTACATGAAGATGAGTTAATTTTAAAATAGATGATGTACGTGAATTGGGAGAAGCAAATGCCAAGAACAGATCGAATGCACTTAAATAATCAAAGATATCACAAAATATTTCGCTCGAGAAATTCTTCCGATAGAGTAGAATTTGTCATAACACTGACTGACGTACATGTATATCAAATATACAGTGAATAGGAACTAATAATCGACCAATAAATAAAACAAGCATTGTATGTATGTGTGTTTGACGTCGACCGCCTATTCCTTAATATTTTGGATGATTAGACAGATTGGAAAAAGTAAGACAAATTAAACGTGAATTAACAATATAACTGCCGTTGTTACGTAGAAACGCCAGTCACATTGCTTAATTCAACTTTAAGTTAATTTTTTTTCTGTCTGCTTGACCGTGAACAGACAGAAAAAGTAAATTAACTTAAATCGAATTAAAGCGATGTGATCGGCGCATTAAGAGCTAAATCCTCTATTCTTGATGATTTATTCGTTAATTCTGTTTTAATGGGTCTTATTTTTTTCAGTCTGCTTGGGGCCTTAGACTCCAGACACATCGCACAAATTAAAACAGAATTAACCAATGTACTGTAACTCATTCAAAACTATATGATCGTTTTCGGCGAGCTAATGATTACGATCAGGCATCCGGCCTAATTTTGTTTTTCTGAGTTACTTCTAACTTTAGCAGTTTTCAATTGTAGACGAAAATTTGTATGTGGAAGAAGAAATACAGACTTATAATGAAATGAATCCACGAAGTACAAATTACTTGGTCAGAATCGCATTCGTAAAATCGACCCCCTCTACATTCACCTTCTGATATATAATGAATAACGACGATTGCAAATACTGTTTAATATTTCTCTGGTCCAACACAAACGTGTTGTTTCTTTCTATACAATGATACTTCTTATCATTACAATAACACATGGCGCCGTAGTCGTCGAGGGCTTTCATATATACACATGATACTAGACGATATAACGAATAATATTGCACAGTAACAATATCCTCATCTAAAAAATTCTTGAAATTGATCAGTTCCACATATGAAACATTTTCTTGCTGTGAATCTTGTTGTTTATAGACAAAAAATATTTGTGGGCAGTATGTGATGCGTAAGGATACATCTCGTTCAGAAATAAAGTGATGGTTACTTTCGTTGTTAAGAAATAGAGAACTGTTTAGGGTTTCTGCTGCCAGTAGTGGTGGATGAACAGCCCTCTGTAACTTTTGGTAAGTCATTTCGATCGCACCTGATGCAGGGATCATTATTGTTACAGGACAATACCATCTGTTCCACTACTTTTTCTGTGTTGTACGCGTTTTTCCATTGTAATATAATTATGTCATGGAATATCAACATGTTTGATGCTGGTATTTTGATTATTGTTGTACAGTTTTGACTATTTCTAGATGTTAGTAGAGCGTCATTTTTTATTACTTCGTTCGTCACATATTGTAGTGCGGTATCAATATTATTTTCGGTGACTTTTTTCTTCCCATTGATGGCTTCAAGTAACAACGTACGTAACGCTTTATGAAGATTAGACAAACATGAGTCGAGTCAAACAGGTTGAGTCTTTTGTGGATTTTTTCGTTTAACTCGATGTTTTTCACAAACCACATCCTTTTTTCACTTGAGCCGGTAGTACGTTGACCAGCATAATGCGTCGCTTTTTTTCGATCGATTAAAGTGTCATTTAAGTACCACGTGATCCATTTTTGTGCTGTAGGAAGTGAATTGCGGTATCTCTTGGCTACACAACTAATCAGCCAGATTCATAATTTTGAAAAACCTTTTCAAGGTTGAATAACGCAATAGACACATACTCGCTATTTTCAAATCAGCTGGTTCAATTTTCAGATCATGACACTTAGCTATCCCACGTTTGAAAGAATGAGAGAGATCGACACAGAGTAGATTCGAGCCAGTATCTCTTGTTAATAGGGATCCATAACGACGTAAATTGGCATAATCATGTTCATGATCGTTCAGATTTTACATCTGTTTTATGTGAATTCTTTTCGTCTCACAGTCTGAGTCACCCGGATCATCAGATTCTGATTCTAAAAGTGAAAAAGCGACATAATACGTTCCACTATTGTATGTCAACTACGAACTTTCGCCGTCAGTTGGGTGACACAATCGTCATGCAAACAAGTGATATAGACAAAATGATCTACTGTATTATCTAAACGAAGCATCTATCCAGTTGAACAAAGAACAGTAAACAGCATCATATCTTTTATTGTTTCTTCAGGAAGACTTGTTGCCGTACGAGGTTCACGAACAGTATCATCAATTATATTATCTAAACAAGCGTGTTTGTTTAGAAATAATTTTTAATTACTCAATGACACACCTTTTATACTGATAATATCATTTTCGAGAAAATTTGGTTCCATAATATTGTCACAATCTTGTTCATAGCACAGAACATAAGCATTTGAGCCCGCCTTACTAGTACGATCATCAAGCGATTTATCAGTATTTAAAACATCGAATAAGTTAACGTTGGTTACCACTTCGTCATTAATGCATTTCCAAGAATTATTACTTTTAACGTACGAATAGTAGTGTCCGTTTGCTACTGATTCTCCCTGATGCATAATAATTCCATACAGTTTATATCGTGTACAAGTGGATGATAATGACGATTTTAGGCATTTTCATTTTGTAAGACATAATCTTTTATATCAACAGTTTCCGTACAATTCATTAGAGTGCAAATTTTTGAGTTATCAGCGCGAAAACGTTTTAACTGAATTAACAAATTTCTTGGTGGACGTTTGAAAAACGTATTATTGTACTTGTGTTTTTGATTGCATGATTTTCGACAATCAGCTACGACATTGTTTGCACAGAACGATCTAATGCATTCATTGATTGATGATTGTTCCAAGGGAAGTCGTAAAATTGATTGCTCTTCTAGCTGCTGTGTAACAAAATTACATTTATCGCATCGTAGTTGTTCGACTAGCTTGAAACCAAAACCGTATGATATGAGTGCCGGCCAGTAGAATGACTCTTTATTTTTTCGAATAATTTTTTGATAACGACTATTCTTGATTAACCTAGTCGTTCACTGGCGAAATGCGGCGATTTTCCACCCATATCACGCTGGTATCCTTCACTGGTTTATCCCGATCGAAACGACATTTTCTCTTGTGTCGAAAGAGCTATGCTTAACACTTGATTTTCTCATAACTCAACAATGGAAAAGAATTAAGAGAACAAAAAATTTCATCTCCTATAAAAGTTTTAGATTTACTACTACTTGTAGTTCAAGTTGAAATTTACTTTGTCATAGGTGTGAAAGACAGTGGAGATAGACAAAAAGTTTTAACAAGTGAAACTTTGACGAAGCCTAACCGAATAGAAGAAAAAAGAAACAAAAACAAACAACAACAACAAAAAAAATAAGAGTATAAGATAAAAAGAAACAAAAAAATAACAATAAGAGTAAGTTATGGCTTATAAATCATACTGTAGTGTTCTACATTAAGTACAAAATAGATACTCACACAACGCGCGTCTGAACGAATTTGCAGAAAAAGAAGCAATAATCTTTCGTGGCAAAACGTTCCAGTCTGATACAGTTTTAACATAAAATTTTTGAAACTGTGTTCTAATGTTATATCACCACAACTCCATCATTTATTTCAACTGTCTATTCAACAAGGAATGTTTCCTACTATCTGGACGAAAGCCATTATAAGAGCTATACACAAAAAAGGATCACGTATTACATGTGAGAATTATCGACCGATTTCACTGTTATCCAACATTAGTAAAGTATTTGAAATGTTAGTACACATATCTCTTTTGCAACATCTCAATAAAACAGAATTTTTTTCCGCAATGCAATTCGGATTTCGTCCCAAATCGTCGACAGCAGATGCATTGTTGCATATAACAATTAAATTATCAGAAATTTTGAAACAGAAGAAAGCTGCAATCGGTGTAGCCTTCGATTTCGCCAAAGCATTTGATCGTGTTAGTCATACTGTTTTGTTAAAAAAGTTACACAAAGCGCATGTGCATGGTAGTGTTCTTGAATGGTTTGAATCTTATCTTACAGATAGAGAACAGATCGTCATTATACATAAGACAAAATCAAAAGCAGCAAAAGTCACTTCAGGTGTACCTCAGGGTAGTATCCTTGGCCCATTGTTATTTTTAATATTTATTAATGACTTGAGTCAAGGATTTCAAGTCTTGAGTCAAGGCAGTTTTTTCTCCATTTCATGGCACAAAACTGATAATAAGATGACATTTAACGGCCAGTTTATAGTCACCAAGTTATTCACCGTTTTGTTCTGCCGTCATGACTAGTATAAATGACTCTGGTTTTCCTAAAATAATTTAGAGTTTTTCTCTTCTTCAATTATCAGCAGGTGATAGTACCTCAGGTTTGAGAAAATATTTTTTTCACATTTTCTAACCATGCAAAAATTGACATTTAAATGGCAAAAAAACAACAACAAAAGAAACACGAGTATAAGATAAAAAGAAACAAAAAAATAACAATAAGAGTAAGTTATGGCTTATGAATCATACTGTAGTGTTCTACATTAAGTCACACTAAATAGATACTCACACAACGCGCGTCTGAACGAATTTGCAGAAAAAGAAGCAATAATCTTTCGTGGCAAAACGTTCCAGTCTGATACAGTTTTTGGTATAAATTAAAGATGAGCCCAAGCAAAAAAAATGGAGCTAGAATCGGGCGGTTGGAGCTAGATAACACGGTTTTCGACCCGGTTAAGCTAGATCCATCTTAAAAAGTTTAACCTAGGATCGGGCGGTTGAACCTACTTTTGGGCGGTTGGGGAGGTTATAAGCTAGGTTAACCGACCGCTTAACCGACCGATCGAGCTAGCTCTACCTGATCTAGCTCCAACCGCCCACTTAACCGACCGGTTAAACTAGTTTCTGATATCAAATAGATTAAACACAGGGAGGTTATCAGCTAGGTTAACCGACCGCCTAACCGACCGATCGAGCTAGTTCTATCTGATCTAGCTCCAACCGCCCACTTAACCGACCGGTAACTTCTGATATCAAATAGATTAAACACAGGGAGGTTATCAGCTAGGTTAACCGACCGATCGAGCTAGTTCTATCTGATCTAGCTCCAACCGCCCACTTATCCGACCGGTAACTTCTGATATCAAATAGATTAAACACAGGGAGGTTATCAGCTAGGTTAACCGACCGCTTAACCGACCGATCGAGCTAGCTCTACCTGATCTAGCTCCAACCGCCCACTTAACCGACCGGTTAAACTAGTTTCTGGTATCAAATAGATTAAACACAGGGAGGTTATCAGCTAGGTTAACCGACCGCTTAACCGACCGATCGAGCTAGCTCTACCTGATCTAGCTCCAACCGCCCACTTAACCGACCGGTTAAGCTAGTTTCTGGTATCAAATTTATTAAACACAGGGAGGTTATCAGCTAGGTTAACCGCCTACTTAAGCGACCGATCGATCTAGCTCGAACCGGGCAATTAACGGACCGGTTCAGCTAGTTCCAGACAAGAAATGCATTAGATACGGGGAAGTTTTCAAGTAATCTACAGGTAAACCGGGCGGTTGCAGTGCCCAGTTAACCGGATAGCTTAAAAATAAGAAGAAGGAATATGTGCCTAACAAGAATCGTAAGATGTAAACGTCTTTTCTTTCTATACATGGCTAACGTTTGGTTACGAAACGAGACAAAATGAGTAATGCTATTCTCTTTTCTTTCACTACTTTCTGGTTGACACTCCCAAACAGTTGCTGGGAGTACTCATCTTTTACCGACTTATCTCTTAGTACTAGTACTAAGAGATAAGTCGGTAAAAGATGAGTATTAAATAGAATGTTATGCATACCACTGATGACAAAAATAATAGTGAGCCAATTTCGACTGATTTTTGAAACATAACATCATCAACAGCTAATATACCAACGGGTTGTTTACTTAAACAGACAAAATAAAGAACTAACGAAAAAAACGAGCGCAGATTTTTTTAAAGGACGAGGAGGATAAGCGAGTGTCGAGCACCCCAATAAAGCTCAATGAAACTTCATATTCGGAATCAGTGTAAAATTCTGAGTATTTTAGCCGTCTCACTTTTTCAAAAATTGCATTTTGATTTTCATCGAAAAATTTATGAGCAAAGGTCCTACCTTGGAACATCGAAAAACCTTTTTCCTCTAAAATTTTCGAAACTCACCTTTTCTGACTCAGAATTTTGTGCTGATCACGAATATGGGATCTAAAGTTAGAAAAAGTAAACATTTCATCGAGTCGAATGCCAAAAACTGAAGGTTGGTCAAGGTCAGTCCAATTGATAGTTTGCAGGTTTTCACCAAGAAAGAGTCATTCAAAACACTTGAAACTAAACAGTTATTGGTGAAAATAGTTGCTCTATCCAAATATGTAAAGAAAAATGCAGTGTGAGCGTATTTTTAGCAAAAATTTTAAGAAAAAGAGGAAAAATAGTCAAAAATCGGTCAATAATTAGTGTTTCCAAGAACGTTCCACACCTTTTTCGATTTTTATTTTAGCACCAATGCGTGAAAAACTGCGTCTAGCATGTAAGTTTCACATTGATTCAAGATTTCGTTTGGAATGCAGAGGCGGCACAGTGAAGGATTGTGGCCGATTTTTGACTATTTTTCCTCTTTTTCTTAATATTTTTGCTCAAGGTACGCTCACACTGCGTTTTTGTTTACATATTTGGATAGAGTAACTATTTGAAAATTTGTACAAATCCTTTATAATGAATATTTACAAGCAGTGCAGTATTCAAGCTGTTCTATTGCGGGAAATTTGAACTCAACAACGTGAGATCGCACACGTTTTAGAGATTGAATCTTTTTCTTACCTTAGTGTAAACACTGTTATGTCGCACTAGTCTTTATCAACTACTACTCTAGCCGAAATCTGATTTTGTTGAAAGTTTGAACATTTTCTGGAAATAGCGAGAAAAATGGGATGTTCCTCACTTTTTGAATTCTGATTTCTTTGCCAATATCTTAGTTTTAAGATCACAATTGAAAAACCTGGTACAGTATGTTGTACAGGAATACATTTCTCTGCTACTTCTGATCTCTTAATTGCCAAGCATTAAAGTTTGATTGCGTGAAAAGGAAACTTGTCATTCACTGTCAGATGATTGATCTACTGATAAGAAAGACAGCCTGATGGAAGAGGATGTTTTCTCACCGTGCTTTTTTTGCAACGCATGAGCCACAATTTTCTTGTCTTGATCGGCAAAACGTCGGTTCTGCAAATCCAGTGTCGCGTTTGCTTCATTATCAGCAATGCATTTTTCGAGTTCTGGGTTCCGGTACCTTGGAGCCTCGATAACTCGTTCGCATTTGGAGAATTTGTTCTTTTAGTGCTTATAATGGTCAAGCCCTTCTATATAATAGTCGATTCTGGTAGGTGGTTGCAGTCCACGCAATACCCCATTGGTCTTATCCACGTAGTCGACAAATGCGGCCTTGGCTTGCAATAGTTTTGTACAATCTTTGGTCGAAATAGCAGTAAAATATACTATTTGCATGTCTAGACTGTGTTGTTCTCGTTTAAGTGGACTATTATAGTCTTCAATTAGTTTCTTCTGGTTTGTCTCCACCGGGAGAAATTGATCCTTCTCGTGCTCATCGATGATTTGACGTAGAGATGCCATAGCTTCTACAATCTTTATTCTGTATTTAAGCTTCTCGTCGTGATGCTTTGGGCATGAAAACATCTGGGGTGGCTTCTCACTAACGGGCACCGGTCGGTGATTCTGAAATACGCGCAGTGCGTGAACACTCTGGCAACATTCCGAACAATAGCTGTTCACACATCTGTCACACTAATGTACAGCCGTGCCCGAATGACAATTGGAACACCGAGTAAATAAAATTGAAACGATTATTCGCGAAACGACAAAAAGACAGAATATGAGAAAGTGGTAAAATAGGAGGGTGCTTAAAACTCTTTTTTGCAGCGAGAAAAAGAGAAGATGATTCGACTATTTCTTTGTCAATGAGTGAGATCTATGATAGCTGTATCAATCGCTTCACTTACCTAGTAATTCGACCATGTCATGCACCACTCGATTGAGAGGCAATGAATCGATGCAATTTATCTTGATTTTGGTTCCATCACGCAGAGAAAATCGAACTGACCGTTGTTGTTGGCAGAAGCAGCTTGTTTAATGCATCGAAGACAGTAAGTATGCGAACAAGCCAATAGACGTGGATCGTCAAAATGTTGAAGCCAAATCACACACCTAATCAGGTGTTCTGCTGAGACTGTGTTGCTGCATGCCGTGTCAATGGCTCAGCAATGTACAGAGTGAAACGAGTACTAGTCTAAAAAAGAGAATAGCAGAGACTAATCTGATGTTGATTGTGTAAAATTGAGCTGGATCTCTGTCATTATACAGATACGAAGGCTTCGGCGAACAGTCTCTGTTGTTTCGCGTCCCACGAAGTTTCGGCACAACACACAAATGATATGACGCGTACTGTCACAATTCAACCATGTCATGCACGGCTTAAAGATATTTAGTAGATGTGGTTTCTCTCGAATTTAGTTTCATTATGTAGAAGACACTCATTTTGCCTGATGCTGTCAGAACCCATCTGTCGAGTATATCGAAGACAGTGCGTGTGTGGATGGATAATGCAATGCAGTCCGTATCACGGTAAAAAGCTTTTTTTGCAGTAAACGAAACTATTTTCTGCACTAACGGAAACTTTAAGATGACTTTCTGATAGTGTATGCAGCGTCACTGAGATATATGTGGAAAAGGGGCCTGGACGATTACAATTACAAAATGTAAAGTTGTTCGAAACGACCTCCACCCGCCAACTCCAGAACTAACTATTCATCCCACTCTTAAGAGAATCTACAACTGTGAAATTAATTAGGTCGAATCCCACATGCTGGAAACTAGGCAAAAAAGCCATAGACAACAGTAACTTTATATCTTAAAGTTCAACTCTACATATATACAAAATTCAACTTTACATGCGTCTAAAGTTCAATTTCACTCAGTTCGAGGCTAGAACTTTCCTTAGAATGTAGAATTCCCAACTTTACATACGATGATCAGCGATATCGATAACATATAGTCCATCTCTCTTTGTAGCTTCCAAGTAAAAGCTGTGAAGGACAGGTGGGTCTCCGGAAAACCTCTGCACTTCCTCAGCGATTGGGAATAAATACTTGAATCGCGTATAGCCCGAAAGAGGGCTGACTAAACATTTTAAGTAGCGGTCGAAGTTAACCGGACAGGAATCTGTCATTCGAGCAAAGTCAAGCCCTCTGCTCATGTGTGACCTAAACCGGGCAGATTCGATTCAAGACATCTCTGTTACTGATGTAGAGGTCTGATTATACTGTGAAGAGATCTCTTTGCCTGTCATCGATCATGCGATGTGAAGTGTGTCCCTCCTCCTGTTCTCTTCTTCAGAATTTATGTTTTACGTATCGTATTACTTTAGAGCCTAATATAGTTACTTATGCGGAGATGGGGCTTAGAGTCAAAACTCCGTTATTCACTTACTCAATTTCTTTAGTCATTTTTTTCGATCAAAGAGTTTCAAAATTGAGACATCTGTCCAAATCTGGAGAAACAGAATCTTTAGAGAGTAAAATGTTTTAGAACATATTTGACAAAACGTCTTCGTGTTATGTTTACATCTCGTGTGGCCCTTAGTTAACTTTTTCGTTCCAATTCCTGTTCTATCTTACTTTGAGGAAATGAGATGGTGCTGTTAATCGAGTTTCGTTTGTTTAGTGTCCCACGGCTTGCAAAAAACTGGAACAAACGAAGGTCACCAACGCAAGAGAAAATGTGTGCGATAGTTAGAAAAAGAAAAGAGAACTGTTTTTTGCGACGTGCCACACACATAGTGATATCTTAGCTTTTATCTTGACGCTGGTTAAATATATGCTTTCATCGCGTTTGTTTGTGGTCATTGATTTTTTGTGGCTGAGCCAATACAAAGAAAAGCTTTTTCTCGTGTCATACAAAATGTTTGTCTATCTGCTGCGAGAAGAAGCATAATACACCCATTTGCATTTGATGTCGGGTACGTACCTAATTCGATATCCAACCGTTGAACAATGTTTTAATAATATTTAAAAGGTAATAAAAGCTATATGAATGAAAGTTGAATGAAGCAGGGTGGATAACAATTAATTGGAGAGGTCCCTACTTGTCATAACTTATTTTTCTTTTGACTTCCAGTGATCGTTAAGCCTGGGTTCTGAAGTTAAATGAGACAAGAAAACTTTCTCAGTAACCATAGGCGGCGATACCCTTAGGCTTGGGGACGAGGAAGGCTTAGGGTGGCTCAGATATTTGATTTTCTACATTAGACAAAGTGCCAATCCGAGGTCTGTAGTATATTTAAAATCAATAACAAAAAATACATACGCAGGAATAACATGAAGTGAGGAGGCCACTAACTGATCCGTTGATTTACTAACTCTGTATCCAATATGCACTCGAATTAACTGAAACTGAATGTATGCTTTCTTATATATATCCCAAAGAACAAAGTGATGGGACATGAAAGAAAAAAGAAAAAATAGAACGAGATAGCTAAAGATGATGCAATATAGAATAATAGTGATGAAACTAGACAAAAAAAACAATAGAGAACCAGCAAATAAGAGGATATCTCTTTTCGTACATGCATATCTTTATGTTCTCTTTCTTTTTTGTTGGCGCGCTGAGCCGTAGAAATGTCTCGCACATGGATATCTTATATGAAAGATATCTCCTTATTTGCTAGATTCCTGATAGATGAACGAATAGACGAAATGGAAGAAAAAGAGAATGAAAATAGAAAGATGAAAAAATGGGCCACAGGCAGTATGGCACTAAAAGATCGCGCGCACACACATGTGAATAGAGGAGGTAGGACAAAAACAGAAATCTAATACTAAAGAAAACGAAAGAACTAGAGCGTTAAGTGTACTAGACTTAATAGACTACTAGCTCGAATACTTACTAAAAGAAACACTTCATTAACTCTATTCTGTAGGTCTTAATCTCCAACTCTCAGAACGTTTGAACAGTAAATCTTCAACGAGAGCTCATTCCCATTGCGACTTGTTTTTCGTTTCTCTCTTCATTAATAATTTTCTATGATTCTATCCTGAAAAACCGCGAAGTTTCGAGAAAGTCTAGAATCTGCGATAAAATTAAGAAAGAAGAATAATGTAATGACGATGACCCGTTACACCCCTCCTGCTTTTTTCTTTTTCCACGGCATTGTTTATCAGAAGTCCTTTTCTTAAAACTTCTCCCTTGAAATACGGCAGACCGACAACTGAGTTTTAGGGTTATTTGTTCTTTCAAATGAACCTTTATTAATTCACTAGTATCTTTTTATTTTTTTGTTCCTTTACACAAACAGATGACAAAAAAAGTTTTTACGATACGAACTCTCTAAGAAAATACAAAAAACACACAACCGCCAGCTGATGTTGTTTTCCCGAATTTATTATCTTGTTTAATGTTTTCAATCAACTTCTTCGATTGTTGGTCCACTTGCTCCGCCTTTGCCACCATGTCCACCGGCGCCAGCTCCGGGAAATCCGCCGGGCATACCTAAAATAAATAAACCAGATTATAAATTTGCTGCCAGGAAAGCATGCAAATGTAGTTCTTTACCTCCTGGTCCAGCTGCTCCACCTTCACCTTGATATAATTTTGTCATTATAGGAGCACATATTTTTTCGACGTCTTTCAATTTATGCTCAAATTCCTCTTTTTCCGCTAATTGATTTGCTTCTAACCATTTTAGTGTATCATCAATGGTCGATGTTACTTTTGCTTTATCGCCATCACTAATTTTTCCTGCTAGTTTATCATCGTCCATGGTTGTTTTCATATTGAAACAATATGATTCTAAACTATTTTTAGCTGTAATACGATCACGTTGTACTTCATCTTCCTTTTTGTATTTTTCAGCATCAGAAACCATACGTTCAATTCATCTTTCGATAAACGACCTTTATCATTTGTAATGGTAATTTTATTTACACGTCCAGTTGATTTGTCCATGGCTGATACATTCAATATACCGTTAGCATCAATATCAAATGTAACTTCGATTTGTGGGACACCACCTGAACACAAACAAATGAAAAAAATGACATTTAGCATTTATCCATAAAAAAGCTGAGAGAATGCGTTCAAGGTTAAAAATAGCGCTTGTGTAGCTATTCGAGCTAGCAATCCCGCCTCAATAAGGTTTCTTTTCTCCTTGCTCACTTTCTTGTAGATCGATAATAGCTCTGATGTGTTGTCAATAATTTAAAGTTTTTGAAATTCAAGACTTACGTGGTGCGGGTGGAATGCCAGATAACTCAAAATTTCCAAGTAAATGATTGTCTTTTGCCATGGTTCGTTCACCTTCAAATACTTTGATATCGACACCTGGTTGATTATCCGAATAGGTGGTGAAAGTTTGTGTTTGTTTTGTTGGAATTGTTGTACTTCGCTTGATTAACGAAGTCATTACACCACCGGCAGTTTCAATACCCAGTGACAACGGGGCAACATCCAATAACAAGACTTCTTTGATTTCTTCGGATTTATCACCAGTCAAAATGGCGGCTTGGACAGCAGCACCATAAGCAACGGCTTCATCCTAAATTCCATACATATCAGAAGATATAAAATGAGTAATTAAAAGACACAAGACTTTTCGTAGAATACTTACCGGATTGATTGATTTATTCAACTCTTTGCCGTTGAAGAAATCCTGTAATAATTTTTGTACTTTTGGAATACGTATTGAACCACCAACCAATACGATTTCATGTATATGTGATTTATCCTGTTAGAGAAAAGAACATAATGATTTGGTATAAGCTTTATTCTGTCAGAATACAATGGTTTCTATAATGCATAACAGTGTCAAATTTAGAACTTACCATTTTAGCATCACGTAAGGCTTGTTCAACCGGTTCCAATGTAGAACGGAATAAATCAGCATTTAATTCTTCAAATCGAGCACGTGTGATGTTAGAATAGAAATCAATGCCTTCGTGCAAGGAATCAATCTCAATTGCTGTTTGAGACGCTGAACTCAATGTTCTCTAGACAGAAACAAAGCGGAATTGAACTCATTCCTATATATATTCTATATATATATTTACCTTCGCACGTTCACATGCTGTTCTCAATCGACGAAGTCCACGTTTATTCTGTGATAAATCTTTGTTACTCTTTCGTTTAAACTCTTGAACAAAAAATGAAACCATTCGATTGTCAAAATCTTCTCCTATAAATAACGAAAAAGATAACATAATATTGTTAAGCATTAAATAACAATGTGTACAAAAAACATACCTCCTAAATGAGTGTCTCCAGCAGTTGATTTTACTTCGAATATTCCTTCTTCAATTTTTAGTACACTAACATCAAATGTACCGCCTCCCAAATCAAAAATCAAGATGTTACGTTCACCAACAGTTTTTTTATCCAAACCATAGGCAATGGCAGCAGCTGTTGGTTCGTTTATAATACGAAGAACGTTGAGGCCAGCAATAACTCCAGCGTCTTTTGTTGCTTGACGTTGTGAATCATTAAAATAGGCAGGTACGGTGATGACAGCATCGGAAATTTTTTTTCCTTGAAAGACAACATAAATTAAGCTACAAAGTACAGGACGAAAAATGAGTGTATACCTAAGTAAGCTTCGGCTATTTCTTTCATTTTTGTTAAGACCATCGATGATATTTCTTCTGGTGTAAACGATTTTACTTCATTTTTGTATTCAACTTGAATTTTTGGTTTACCACCTAGACGATAATCAAATTTTTAGTAAGCAAAAACAGTTTCGATCCAGCTAGTCCATCACTAAGCCAACGCCAATTATTCTACGCACCATTCTAACTTAGTCTATCAAGCAGACATTTTAAAAATATTTGAAATCTTATTCTACTTTCTTTACATAATATCGCCGATAGCAACTAGTATCAAAAATCCACTTGTACCACTTCGAGTTAACCTCCATTCTTGAGCGAAATATATTATTTTCGCTACCATTTAGTCTCATCCCTCATATCCTCCAAAAGATTTCTGGTTAGAAAATGCTTACAGTTAAATAAGTTTATATTACCTTCGCTGATAACTTTGAATGGCCAATGTTTCATATCAGCTTGAACGGTTGGATCCTCAAATTTTCTTCCAATCAGTCGTTTAGCATCAAAGATAGTATTGTTGGGATTCATAGCTACTTGATTTTTGGCTGCATCACCAATTAATCGTTCACTATCAGTGAATGCAGTATAACTGGGTGTTGTACGATTGCCCTGATCATTGGCAATAATTTCAACTTTGCCATGTTGAAAAACACCGACACACGAGTATGTAGTTCCTAAATCGATTCCAATTGCTCGGGCCATTGTTGTTTATTGAAGTGATTTTTGTTAAATATTACTAGAAAGAACTTTTCACTTCTAACTGTTTCGAGTTTTTATTCTTCTGCAAGCGGTAAACACTTTGTTCTTTGCCTTATATGACAAATATTTTTTCTTCTCGTATGTTCGATACCGTGAGAGCAAATTATTATATGAATATGACTTGTTGTTGATTTTTCCCTTTCTTTTGTGATCACTATTTACGTTTTATCTACACCTTTCCACTGTTGGACGTTCTTGTGGGCATTCTTGAAAGATTATTATTTCTTGACATTTGAGACAAGAATCTTGTAAAATATTTCACATGTATTTTTAATATAAGCATCTTGCAGAAAATCGCTTTCTTATGAGTTTCTACAAGAATCGCGAGACGGATTCTTGTCCCAATTCACAAGAAAACGATTTCTTAATCTTTTCAACAAAAATAAATGCATATAATTCATTTTTCGTTTTCTTTTCATATATAGGGGAGCTAGCCGTTCTGATGCTAATACGGGCACATATAAAGACTCGATTGTCGCTTGACAAGAACCTTGTGAGATTTAAAAGACTTTTAACCAGCACCTATGTATAGTATCATAAGTTATATATATATAACATGGGATTAGTGATTTTATCGTAGACGAATCTTGTCATTTCAGACAAAAATCTTTCACGAAAGACGACGAAAAATTAAAAGAAGAATCTTGTCTGATCTATTAAGACAAATTTAAAAAATCTTGTCTGAAATGACAACAAACAAGAATCTTGCAACAATACTCACAAGAACGTCGACCAATGTCCTTGGGTACGTGACCATTTTATCAATAGGGAAAAAACAAGCCGACCATTGTTTACAGAAGAAAAGAAAGAAATGAATGAATGAAATATAGTTGATGGCGATTATGAAACAACGAATAATAGTTGCATTTTAGAGTCATGAAGACAGCAGTATTGACGAAGACTTGTCCGGCAAGTACAAAGCACTGCTTTAGATGGGTAGAATACCCAATGAGTAATCTAATAAATTTTGTTTTTATTTTTTGAATTTCAAGTTACTGGGCAACAGGTGAAAACGGCAGAGAATCTGTTTGATAAAGAGGCCGAATATGTTGAGCTTGAAATGTCAAACTCAATATTTTTTATAATATACTTTCTTTTGAAATGGCTTTTAATCCTTTGTTCACCAGCGTCCTGAATCACCAGCGTCCCGAATTCAGGACGCTCTTTTAAGTTTCCTGATTTCCGAATAACTCTCGAACGCAAGAAGATATAAAGGTTCGACGACGCATTTTTGTCTACTGATCTCTAATATGGTTTTAATTTTGCTTGCAGGTACATGAAACGTGAGAAAGACGCAAAATAAATGAAATAACTTGGGGTTAGGGTGAGTCTGATGTCTTGATGGTGAGAATCTCCCAGCTTTACTCATTAATTAGCCTCAGGTCTAATTAAAAAGGTAAATGCTGAGAAATTTTTAAATGTTTCCGATTATCCCATTTGGGGTAATTGGAAACGTACGTGAAACTTAGTGGGGTAAATGGAAACGACTTTGTAAAATAGCTGGAAAGCCAGGAATCTCTTGGAAATCAGTTTCTAATCGAAGTACACCGCTCACAAAAATATTTGAGTTAATAAAAAGATGCAGAATATTCTCTTCCACAATCGCAGAGAAACTCTCACTCGTTCTCATTGAGAAATAACGAAATAGGCGTGTTACACGAGAAAGTTGGTCTAGGATATCTCGATAATCACACAATCAAGCTTTATGAAAATCGGCGCTGAAGGGTTTCTCAATGCCCTCTTTCCTTTCTTCTCTAGAAAGTTTTCTCTAAAACTCTCGAAAATAGGGTTTTCTGGTTTTTTGGGTGACTTGTATTTCTTAAAACGAATTTTAAAATCACTCTTAAGACATAAACATTTTTAATGGCATATTTGGATTCAGCGTCTAAAGGAGAGTATTTTGAGACAAAAAATCAAATCTTCAACTCAAAATACCAACTTTTGACTTTGATTTGAAATTTAAAAAACTGAATTTTTTTAAAATTAAAATAATTCAGCTCAAGTAAGCGATGGAACCTTGGTTCAAATGTGCTTGGATAGAGAATTAAAAACTAAACAAACCTAGGGGTTTGGCGAAATTCCAATATCGCGTCATTATGGTTCTTTAGGGGGTCTCTAGAAAACCTATTTCTAATTTCACTTTGTTTTCTCTATTCTTTAAAAATCTTTAATTAGTATGATTAGCTTAACGAGAAAACTGTTTTTTACTAATGAATTATTTTCTGTGTAAAATACATGGCACATCCAACTACCCCAGTTTCTATTACTGTTTCTAATTGCCCCACTTGGGGCAATTGAAAATGTTCGTTAGAGCTTTCAGCAAAACACCATCCTGTAAATAGAGCGCAAAAAGATAATTAAAATTAACAAAATTATACGAATTAGACGTCCAAAGAGCCAAAAATCGTTTCCAATTGCCTCGGTTTACTCTAACCTTTATACGTTGGAACTCAGTCTAGGAACATCATTCTCACTTTATAATTATCCTCGTACTATCTAACCAACGTATAAAGGTTAAGCATTGTACGGTTTTTAAAATTCATTACAAATGGGAACAACACATTTCATATATATATGTTAGGAAGTAGTTAACCTAATTTCATATCAATAGTTGTCATCTTTCAATATACATATTCTCATCGTCACTCGATGGTTATTTTCCCTTTCTGCTCCT